ATTTTTGCCTATTTTTAAAGTAACATATTTCTCGGAAAAATTCAAACAATACAGAAGCATATAAGATGTACTCTAGGGCCGGCCCGGCGGCACACTGCTACAGTGCGCCGCTTTGGAGTGTGGTGGCGCTCCCGCCGAGGGTTCGGATCCCACATACAGACCGGTTCCCGCTCACTGGCTGGGCGAGGTGCGGGTGCGGCACCGAGGGTTGCGATCCCGTTGCCGGTCCCGGTCCAGTACGGGCGAGACACTGAGGGTTGCGATTCGTTGCCGGACACGAAAAAAGACAAAAAGGAAAAAAAAAAAAAAAAAAAGATGTACTCTAAAAACTTACCATCCCCCCAGTACTTCCATCCCCTAATGTCTACTTAACAGTTTGGTATCTCATTTCAGATATTTTCTATAAATATAAAGTAGTGTAAATTCTATACCAAACGTTTTCTATAAAGGGCCAGAGAGTGAATATTTTACTCCAGATGATCTCTGTTGCGGCTGCTCAGCTCTGCTGTTGTTGTACTGCTAAAGTAGCCATGGAAACTGTTATCAAATGGGCATGGCTATGTTCCAATAAAACTTTATTTACAAAAACAGGCAGTGAGTGACCTGCGGGCTGTAGTTTGTCAATCCCTGTTGTGTATGAATGAGATCACACCATATGCACTAATCTGTAATCCAGTTGTTATTTGTTTTTTGGTTTTTTGGCCCAGTAATAGGCCTTGGGCATCTTCCCATATCAGTATTCAAAGACTTGAGCTATCCTTTTACAAGGCTGCTTGTATTTCAGTGGATGGCTCTAATCCAACCTTTTTAACCTGTTCTTTACTGATTGAATGTCGGGGTTGTTGTTTTCAGTTTTTTGCTATTACATAATTTGGAAATGGGCCTCATCTAATAGGACCAGAGAGAAGCTGGTTCTTTTAATTTCCCCATTTTGCAGGGCTTGGGTTTTATTTATTATTATCATCATGATGTTTTAGTCATTTAGTTTTATCATTCACAGCTGAGCTCTGGTTTGGCAGACTGAAGATCTGATTTTGGTCTTAATTCTACCTCTTAATAGCTGAATGGCTTGGAAAGCTCATTTAGCCTCTCTGATCACCACATTCCTCATCTATAACCTGAACATGAGCATGCCTGGCCCTGCCTACTGCAGAGGGTATTGTGAGATACAAATAAGACAGCAGATTGGAAAGTGCTCTGAGAATTATAAAGTGATATTCCTGCATAAGGGGCTGTCATCATGATCATTAACCTTATCATCATTATTAATGTGATGACGCTTGGAATGGTGAGCTCATCTTCCTCTGACATGTGAGTAAATATAGAATAGAATCTGTAGTTGGAATCATTGACGTGATTGTTGATTTTCCAAGCCATGAAGTATTCAGCCAAACAATTCAGCAGCCAATTTATTAAGCTTCTATTATGTGCCAAATAGGGCCAGCCCGGGTGCCAAGTTCTGTGTGAGTTACCAGGGTTATGAGAAGACCAGGTGATGCTCCCTGTCCACCAGGAGTTCAAAACCCACTGGAAATAATACAGTTACCCAACCTATCAAGATAATGTGATACATGCTATAACCAGGGAAGGAAAAACATAATTCCACCAGAGAAAAGGCAAAGTTCAGGAAACCTGCTCAGAGAGAGTGGCATTGAAAAGCATAGGAGTTTGCCACACAGAGAAGGGAAGAAAGGATATTCTGACATATGTAAAATTCTGGGGCAGTCGTACCCAGCTTGGACTCAGTGCTAGTGCAGGCTGGTAGAAGTTTATTCTCCTTCCTGTAGAAGAAAGCTGGAGGTGGCATCCAGGGCTGATGAGGGGCTACACCTAGGCTCCTTTTTTCTTTCTGCTCTACCATGCTAATTCATGGCTGTCATCCTCAAGGTTGTCTCGGATCCAAAATGGTGACTGGGGTTCCAGCCATCACGTCTGAGTTCTAGACTGCAGAAAGGAAGAAGAAAGAAAAGAAGGAAGGGACAATTAGCATTCACTCAGCTGAGTTACCTTCCCTTAAGTAGGCTCTCTAGAAGTCCCACATTTATCCATTAAAGATATTTACGGAGTGCCTACCATGTGCTAGGCACTGAAATACAGCAGTGAACAAAACTGAAAACCTGCCCTCCTGGAACCTACATTCTAGTGGAGAGAGATAGAAAAAAATAAGGTAAATATATAGTAGATGAAAGAGTACTAATCACAGTGGAGAGAAATAAAGCAGAGAAGGTGGCACTGGGGGTGCAAGGGAGAGGAGTGATGCAGTTTTAAATAGCTGCTCAGGGAGGTTTTCACTGAGAAGGAGACATTAAGCTGTCCTGAAACAGTGAGAGAGGGAGCTGTGCAGATGTGAGGACGTTCCACGCACAGACGCTGCAGGGGCCAGAGCACAGTTAGCAAAGAAACAGCAGGAATTGAGATCATACAGGGGACGATTGGAGGCAGCAGGTGCAGACTTTGTAAGCCTGGAAGGATTTTGACTGAGTGAGACAGGAGGCTATTGGACAGTTTTTCAGCAGACCTTATCTGACTTGTGTTTACATCTCTTTGACCAGACCTAGCTGCCCAGGAGGCTGGGAGATGTAGGATTTAGCTGGCACCTTGAGGCCCTGGGTAAAATCTGGGTTCCATTATTGAAGGATGAAGAGGAAAATGGATATTGGGTACCACTGGTGGTTCCACCTCTTATAAGCTGTGTGAATTTGGTTCCAAGTTACTTAATTTCTCTGAACTTCAATTCAATTGACCTGCTTTGAATTTATGAAAAGGACAAATAGAACATAAGACATGGTAGCACTTCCCTGTATCTCTGTGATTCACATGTGGGTCACCCAGTCATCAGTTACATTCTGGCCAGAGCCACCAGGCTGATGGATGGGACGGGATCAAGGTGACACATGACAGGGCACACGACGAAACAACTGAGGGCCACTCTGTGAGCTGAGAGACCATTTTCTGGGTCACACTTGAGTTTAAATGCAGTAGTGCATCCAGGACTGCTCCACCCTCAGCCGTGGGCAAAGACTTAAAGCACGGGATGGGACTAAGGGCTCAAACGCAAGAGCGACTGGACTGGACAGCACCACAGCCTCTCAGAGTCCCATGCATCAGTGACAGGCCAAGTGGTGGCTGAGTGACAGCCTCAAGCAGTGCTGCTCAGGTGTCCGTATCTTAAAGATACTGGTGACAGGAACCACCCCCAGCACATTCCTCCTGAGCCGACATCTCTGAACTCTGGCCCCTTCTAATCTGGCTCTTTCCACTTTAGCTGCGCTCTCTGAATTTCTGAGTCCTTCCGCAAGAGCTGTCAGCACCTCTTTATGAGCCCCTGTCTCTAGACCTCCTTGTTGCCCCCCATAGCGCAGCCTGCAGGACTCCAATCAAAACCTGATACTTGGTAGCATCTCCCTGGTACTGACTGGCCTCAGCTGTGTCCTGCCACTGCCCAGCCCTGATGACAGGCCTCTTGACCATGTGTGATCTTAGAACAAGGAGGACTGAGGAAAAGTGGTAATGGACGGGAGTGAACAATGGCTCGCAAGAGCTGCTCAGGACTTCTAGCTGATGGTGAGGGAGGCTGTGGAGCATTCTCCAGTTATTCAGGGACCCCGCCAGTACTCCCAGTCCTCAAGCAATGTCAAGTACAGGCTTGTCCAGTATGGAGGGATGGAGTGGTGCCTGTTATGCACACCTCCAGGATGCCTAATTGGGAAGACAAATGGATCAGTAACCAAACGGAAAAATACTGCTGCATTAAGAAACTGGCAAGCACCCAACACCCAATACAAAGCCCTGGAAAACTATGTTGGAGACCTTGACTTATCCCATATAACCCAACCCAGAGGTGAAAATGAGGTTTCTACTTCCCCCTGAATCTAAGCATTAGTGCCCATGTACACAGAAGTGCCTGCAAGGAATGGACATGATGGGGCCTGCAGATCAGGTGCCACAGTTGAGGCAAGAGCAAGAGAGGAAGAGAAAGAGCAGTCTCCAAAAGCAGACTGTCACCCTGATTCCCAGCTGAAGATGAAAAGCCAAGGAGGCCTGCCATGCTGAGCATGGGGCGTCAAAGAGGAGCAAAGGGGTGGACTGTGCCTAGGCACTGACCCTTACCAGTGACCCTGCCACAGCTGAGGTGTGGGCCAGGGACCACCAGCTCCAGGCAGAGTGATTCATGCTTCCCGGGGGTAGGAGGGCCTCAGAGGGTCAGCTGGAACTCTTCTCTCTGTGGGTCAAGGCAGGAATGTGGGGAGAGGAGGGGAAATTATCCTCTTCCGTACGATTCCCAGCCCTAGATATCTAACCAAATTTAGAGAAGTTTCTAGACCTGAAGTGAAGAGGACCAGCAATCTCACATCCCCATGTGCTACGTAGCTAGAGTCAGGTTCTCCTCATGGGTGCTGTGCCACAGAAATGGGCTACTAATGAGCCGTGTGTGTGTGTGTGTGTGTGTGTGTTTGTTTTTCTTTTTTCTAGAAAACCCACGGGAGTCGTGTTTTGACCCTGGCTCCATCAAGAATGGCACACGAGTGGGATCTGACCTGAAGCTGGGTTCCTCCATCACCTACTACTGCCATGGGGGCTATGATGTTGAGGGCTCCTCCACACTCAGCTGCATCCTGGGGCCTGATGGGAAGCCCGTGTGGAACAATCCCCGGCCAGTCTGCACAGGTGACAAGAGCCAGGGATGGGGGGTCTGAGGAGCTGAGGGCTTGCAGGGGCTGTCGGCTAGGGGAAGGGTAAGTGGGACATGGTCCTCAAGGCTGGCTCCTCTAAGCTGGGCCTGGTCAACTTGGGTTTGCTGTGAGTGAGAATGGCTCAGGATTCTCCAGGTGTGCCCATCTCTGTCAACATGTCGTCTCTCTCAGATCACTGTCTCCCCATCCCCATTCAGATAGACACCTGTGTCCTCAACAGAGGCCTCCAGACATGCCACACCAGGGCCTCACATCTGGGATACGGGGTTTAAAGGTGGTCCCTGGGCTTTTTGTAAGCAGAAAAGCTTCCTAAGGTGCTCCCCAAGGCTGTGCCTTCAGGGACCAATGCCAGTGTTAATAGTCAGAGGGCAAGGACTAGTATGTGCCCAAGAGGGCTCTCAGTAGCATCAGGATAGGTTCTAGGCCATGTGCCGGGCTGGGGATGGATGTCCTTGGGCAGGGCAGGGCAGTGTCCACGGAACTCCCCCTCTCCGCGCTAGTCACCATCTATATCCAGGCAGCCTCCCCAGGGCCAGAAGCTCGGGCCAGAAGCAGAACAGAGGATGGACAGCTGATGAGAGTCCCACAAGGTCACCTGGCCCTCTCTCTGGTTTCTCTTTCAGCCCCCTGTGGGGGACAGTATGTGGGTTCAGATGGAGTGGTCTTGTCCCCCAACTACCCCCAGAACTACACCAGTGGACAGACCTGCTTGTATTTTGTCACCGTGCCCAAGGACTATGGTATGGGATTTTTTGTTTATATGTCTTCTGACTCTTCCCCCTCATTCCAAACTGGGCAACTCCTCTGGCCCTGCCCAATTATTCAGTCCCATTGTGGAAACAATCAGAACAGCCTCCCAAACAGGACAGCTGAGTGCTGATGCTCTGGAACAGCTGTGGGACATTCCTGACACAAGAGGGAAGAAGGGCTCGAGTGAGGCCAGCCAGCACCCCAGGGTCAGAGTTGGTGAGGAACAGGCCAGCAGAGGGAGGGCGAGGAGGTGCCTGGGGGCTCCCTAGTATAGCCCAGAGTGCAAGGAGGGAAGGAATGGGTGGAGCTGGCCTAAAAGTGCAGGCAAGGGAGACTGGGAGCCACATCATTCCGGTGTCCCATCAGAGAGCCAGAGCCTGGTGCAGCAGCTATAGGTAGGATGAGCAAGAAAAAAGTGAGAGGGCCCTGAGAAGACAGAGAAACCTCCAGATTCCAAGAGATCCAGGCAGAAAGAACCAGGCCCGTTGGCTGGTTGGCATTCAAGAGTCCTGCCAGCCCTGGAGACATTCAAGAAGATGAATGTCTTCGGGAAGAGCAACGAGGTGACCCTCCTGACTGCCTTCTTCCTGGGTCTAACAACTGCTTCTAAACCCAGTTGATGTTGGCTGGGGCAAAGGGCATCTCCATGTCCTGACCATCCAGAGAGCTGGCTACTTATTCCCACAGATAGGATGGGGAAGCACAGGGCAAGGCCTGACGCCGCAGTCATTCACCAAACGTTTAGTAAGCACCTGTCAGGGGCCATGCACTCTGCCGGGTCCTGGGGCTACAGTGATGAGAGAGACATGCTCCCTGCCCTCTGTCAACTCCCAGTCCCATCTTCACCTCTAGCTCCAGCCACGCATGCACCCACTCCTGCCCTAGGACGTACACACTTACGTGCAGGTACACATGTTCCCCAACATACTTAGGTGGCAGGAACTTTAGACCTGCAGGATCGCAGTCGGGAAAGTCCTGAAATGTTGTCCAATCCAACCCGCTATGCAGAGCAGAGTCCTTAATAGGTGGGCATGCAGTTCATCCCAAGTTCCTCCATGATAAGCCACCCATGCCTTTGCAAACAGCGAACCCCACTGACCTAAAACCTGTATATGGAGAGCTGGCTCTAGGAAGGGTAGTGATCTGTCCCAAGCATCTTCTCTTCATGAATGATGCTAAGCTCAGGGATCAGGGACAGATTTTTCCCTCTGGGCCTGGACTATTTGTCCCCCAACTCAAGCCTCAGCTCTGACATCATCTTCTCAGAGATCTTTCTTTGATCCCTTATCTAAAATATCCTGCCTCACCCTCTTATTCTATCTTATTACCCCCAGAACTTAACACTATCTGAAGTTATCTTATTTATTTATTTGCTTAAATGTTTGGAGTTTTGGGATTTGAAGGATTTTTTTTGACGGTCTCTTCCCATCATAATGTACACTCTGTGAAAGCAGGAATCCTGCCTGTCTTATTCACTACTGCAAGGGACAGCAAGGAGACATCTGCCACCAGCCCCAGCTCGGTAGCTATTTTCAGGACACGGAAATGTGCTCTTCCTCCTTCTCCTCCCTTGCTGCTCCTCCACCCATGGGCTGAGAGCTAAGAATCTCTCACTCCATTCACTGCTATACTCAGCATTGCAAATGCTTTTTTGTCAGGGAGTCAGCTCCATGGCCCGAGTCCCTGATATGTGTGTGTGTGCATACATGCATGCACACACACAACACACACACACATCCCACCTCCTACATGCTCGAGGCTCTGAGCCAAAGTAGAGAAGGGTCTGCCCTGGCTCTTGCCCTCAGACGCACCAGGCCAACTGGGAAACGGGTGCAGGCAGAATGAACTGGGGTCTGGCAGACAGCTTAGTGGGAGATTTGCCCACTGAGGCCCAGGAATGACCCCAGCCCCTCCAGCAGTGACCGGCAGAGAGGGGAGGCTGAGGAAACCCCTATGGTTCATAGCTGATGGCCTGAATAGCCATCAAATGGGTGGCTTAGGCCTTATCTCATCTGGGGACTCATAAGGACAAAGCCAACCAGGTTTTTAGTCCCCCTCCTCAAGCTAGCTGAGTGGCCTTGGGGAACTCTTAAACTCTGAGGCTCAATTTCTTTGTCTATAAAATATAGATACTATGTGGAAGAGTCATGTTCAAAGAAGAGGATGTACATGGCAGGCATGGTAGCTGGCACCCACTAGGTGCTTAATGAGGCTCAATTTCTTTGTCTATAAAATATAGATACTATGTGGAAGAGTCATGTTCAAAGAAGACGATGTACATGGCAGGCATGGTAGCTGGCACCCACTAGGTGCTTAATAAATGTTATTTTTCCCTCTCCCCCGGGCTGTGGCAGAGGGCCATAAGGTGGAGAGGTCTGCCTGCTCCACGGACAGTTGCCACTTCCCCAGCACAGGCTGCCACGCACAACCTCACGCCTCTTCATGTGGGAAATCTTGTATACAGGGTCTGCCCTGATCGGCTTAGACCTTTGAAGAAAAAGCAGGGGAGAATGTGAGGTCCTGAGAAACACCCCCCATGGGCGTTCCGTGGGGTCACATGGAAAATGGGGGGTGTTACCAAAAGCCCTTTCATGACCTCAAGAAGCTGCTGTAGCTGCCGTCCAGGGAAGGAATAAGGTTAGCTCAGCACCAGCTCCACTAACCTGACCTCTGGGTACAGTCAGCCCTTGATGTCATCTTGATCCACATGGAGAAGGCCATCCGGGCCTTCCCAGCTCCCACATCCGCAGGCCTGGGCGTCTGGCTCACGTGCTACTCAGCCGGCAGGAAGGCTCAGCAGGCAGCCCATGAACCAATGACTTCTTCTGGGCTGCCCTCCTGCTGGCCTGTGGCTCCGACCCCTGTGCCCTCTCGCTGCCCCCAGCATGCCCACGAGGTCTTCCACGCTGAGGTCCCCACACCATGTCTCCTCCGCAGTGGTGTTCGGCCAGTTCGCCTTCTTCCACACGGCCCTCAACGATGTCGTGGAGGTGCATGACGGCCACAGCCAGAGCTCCCGGCTCCTCAGCTCCCTCTCGGGCTCCCACACAGGTACCCAGGGCTCTGCCAGCATGGGGGCGGGGGCGGACCGGGCATCACAGGCCGGCTGAAAGGAAAGGGGCCCTGGAAGCACAGCTTTGTGTCTGTCATGCTCTGGTGCTGTGTCTACCACAGGATGGCCAGCTCCTGAGAGCCCACACACAGCAGGGGCCTTCGGGAGCCACCCTCACCCAAACTATGTCTACACCGCCCCCACGTGGTGCAGTCTCCTGTTGGTTAATATTCAGACCCAACTCCTTTCCCTAATTGTAAATATACTGCATTTTCATTGTAGAAAACTTGGGGACAAAACAAAACAATTGTATACAGACTTAAAATAAAAACCACCCAGAAAGAATTGCTAAGATGTGGTGCATTTCCTTCTAGTCTTTATATCTTTAGATTTAATCTTTTCTTTTACATATTTTATTGAACCGATCAATATACATATTTTTATTGAAAGTCACTGTGAGCTCTTCTCTGCCATTGTTTTTTCTTCTATAGTAGAATTTTTTAAATGCTTCATAGTAGTATTTCATATAGTTATGTAAAATTTATGCAATGAATTCTCTACTATTGAACATTTAAATTATTTCTAATTTTTCACTCATATGAACAGTGATTCAATATATTATCCATATATCTTTATACACATCTCCGACTGTTATCTTAGAATATCTACAAGTAGAATTGCCAGGTTTCAAAAAATATGTGAGATGTTTAAGGCTTTTTGTAGAGATTATCAAATATCCCTCCAGGAAGATCTTGCCTCTTTGTTCAGCAGCAGTGAGTAAGAGGGCATGCTTTATTCTCATAAAAACTAGATAATTAAAAAAACAAGTGTCATCAGTTTGAAAAGTGAAAACGGTATCTCATTTTCTAATTTGCCTTTTTGTATTACTAGTTAGGTTAAAACCTTTTTACAATGTGTTTATTGGCCATGCATTTTTTATTTGTGGGCTTATTTGTAAATATGTGTCGATTTTTCTATTAGCACTTTTTTATTACTTATTGAGTAGAGCTACATATTATTATAAGTTATCTATGTTATATGCAATAAAAACCTTTTGTCTGTATTATGTGTTATAAAAAACCTTCCCTTCCAGTTTTCCATTTGCTATATAATTTTCTTCAGGGTGCTTTAGTGTCAGAAAATTTAAATTTACCATGACATGAAATCTGTCAATGTCTTTCTTTATAATTTTCTCCTTTGCTTTTATGCTTTTATTTATTTATCAAATAAATATGCCTCTGTGTTTTCTTTACTTCTTAGTTTCATTGTTTTGCTTTAATACCTTCAGAATTTATTTTGGTTTATTATTTGATATAGGAAATCTAACCATATTCTTTCAAATATAGTTGATCAGTTGTCCTAGCAGGATTTCTAAATGCCAGATTTACATATACTAAATTTTTATGAAGTTAAGGGTCTGTTCCTACACTTTTTATCCATTTCCTCTAAGTGTCTGTTTATTCTTGTATCAATTTTGATTATTGTAACACTATAATAGTGTTGAATATTGTAATAATTTTAAACTTAAAGGGGTACTTCGAAAACATCATGGAAAGATTCATATTACCTTTTAATTCTATTTTTCCACAGACTTTTTGAAGTATCCTATTATAAGTCCCCATAGTCATTATTTGTTTTGAATTTTAAACTGGCTATTCTTGCTTACTTTTGCATCCAAATAAAATATAGAAATATTTTGTCAAAGTGAAAAGTATTGCATCAAAGTTTTGACTGGAATTTTATAGAACTTAAGATTTTTTAAATTTTTTATTTATTTATTTATTTATTTATTTTTAATGGAAGATAGTTGATGGTACATGTCTGTGGGTACAGCATTGGATAGCAATACCTGTGTGCAATATGTGATGCTCAAATCGAGATAATTAGTTATTCAGCATTATACGATGCAATTGATTTTCGTGGCCCTTTACCAATTCCTCCCTTGCCTCCGTCCCCCTTCCTCTTTCCCACCTCTGATAACCTCAGTTCAGTTCTCTCCTTTTGAAGATTCGAAGTATTATTGTGATTGTTGTATCTTTCTTTCTTTCTTTCTTTTTAGCTCCCACTTATATCTCTTTCTGTGTCTGGCTTATTTCACTTAACATCATTTTCTCTAAGTTCATGCACGTTGCTGCAAATGGCAGAATTTCATTCTTTTCTGTGGCATAGTAGCATTCCCTTGTGTAAATATACCACATTTTCTTTATCCAGTCATCTGACAATGGACGTTTAGGTTGGTTCCAACTCTTGGCTATTGTGAATAGAGCTACAATAAACATGGGACTACAGGTGTCCCTTCAACATGATGATTTCCATTCCTTTGGGTATGCACCCAGCAGTGGGATTCCTGGATCGTGTGGCAGTTCTATCTGTAGTTGTTTGAGGAATCTCCATACTGTTTTCCATAATGGCTGCACCAATTTACAGTCCCACCAACAGTGTAGGAGGGTTCCACTTCCTATGCATCCTTGCCAGCATTCGTTATTCTCTGTCTTTTTTTTTTTTTTTTTTTTGTCTTTTTGTCTTTTTTCGTGACCGGCAATGGATCGCAACCCTCAGTGT